ACTTTTCAGGGCCTTTACTGTGCCAAGTGTGCTGTGAATCTCCAACTTCTTTTTTGGAATTCCTTGTGGCTTATGAGGCTACTATATGTTCTTCCCCCAACAAATCAATTATTCCCAATTTTGGCTCATTATATATATAATGGCAAGTGTGGGGTGTTGATGAGAGACAGTATTTCTTTTGATATGTCTCAGTTTTCAGATTCTATAGTTTATTTGCCTTCTTTGATTTCCTATTAATGTAGAGCCTTTCTTTTCTCCACCCTTGTTTAGGGAAAGTCATTTATTATAATAATATATTATGGAGAATTTTAAATATCTTCAACAGTGAAGGGAATAACATGATGAATCTGTACCTACCATCAACCAACTTCAACATTTATAAACAGTTACCAACTCATGCCAGTTTTGCTTTGTCTATTTCCCTGTTACCCTCAAAACTAGCCTCATTTGAAGTAATTCTCAGACATTGTGTCATTTAACTAGCCAATATCTTGATGTAATTCTCTAAGATATAAGAACTTAAAAATATACCCATATTACCTTTACCACACATAATTTATATCAACAATAATTTATTAATTTCCCAAATATCTAGATTTCACATTACATTCATTAACTCATAATTTTTTATACTTAAAAAAATTAGGATCCACATAATGTCCAAATATTTAACTATACTTATGTATCCCTTATATCTCTTTAAATACACAGGTCACCCTCCTGCTTTAACATTTTTACCTTTGCATTTTATATGTTGAAGAAATCAGGTCATTTGCCCTGCAGTTTTCCACATTCTGGATTTTGCAGAGTGCACCCCTGGTTTATTTTAACACATTCCTCTGGCCTCTGTTCCTGATAATTAGTAGTTAGAGCACAAAATTTCATTATATTCAGTTTTTTTCCTTTCCTTCTTCCCTCCCTCCTTCTTTCCTTCCCTTCCTCTCTTTTCTTTCTTTCTTGGCAAGAACACATGATACACATCTTGTGCATGTTGTCACTCTTTCGATAATGTTAGCAATGATTGATACTCATTGCCTAGATTCATTACTTCTTAGGTGCTGCAAAATTGAGTTGCTCTGATTCTGTCATCCTTTCTTCATTTATTTGCAGTGAGTCTGCATCAAGTTATATTTATAAATTAAAGAGAAGCAGCATCTTTATAATATTAAGCCTTTCTCTCTAATAGTGCAGTGTGTCTCTCCATTTGTTTAAGTATAATTATATGACTTACAGGAGCATTTTATAGATTCCCTCATTTAGGCTATTTACTTATTTTTGACAACATTGTCTTCATTTTCATCTTGCCTTCCAAAAAGGTATTTTAAAATGTATATAAAGGTAATTGGTTTTGCATGCTGATTTAATAACTTTCTACTTTATCAAGTTCTCTCATCGTAGTAATGTTTTCATTCATTCTTTTCAGTTTTCTAATATATGATCATCTATAGAAGTACAAATATTTTTAGATCTTTTCTACTTTTTGCCTTGAATTTCCTTCTCTTTTCTAACATCATTGGCATTGCAATGTGTAAGAAGTTACCTGTGTGTTATCATCTTCTTATGTATTAAGCATATAAACTGCGAGTTCACTGACTGCGTAATGCTGAAGAGTCAGCTAGAGAGGTTTTCCTTTCAATGACTTAGGAGATATTTTTACAGTGCTAGAGATCGGTTTCACATAATAAAAGAGAGTTTATAAGTTTAAATGTTATCTAGATTCAGAGCCTTGCAATATGTACTTTGGGACTCAAATTTTAGAATGCACCTCTCCATTGACTCATAAAGCTATAGTTGGTGTGTGTGTATGTATATATATACACACACACACACATATATATATATAATATTTTACCATAAATATGGTATTTGTTATAATATATGAAATAGCTTGATAAAGAAATTATTAATTAAAAGTCAGAGAAAATGGATTAGCATTTTCTATGAACTGAAACAAATTCTTATCTAAAAGATTACACCATCCATATAATCTTTTAGAGCTATGTGGGGATACCAAGTGTGGAGATGCTGATGCTGTAGTGTGCCTTTCATATCTTCTCCAGTCAGCCCCTTTTCTAAACTGTCAAGTTTCCAATGGAGGAACATTGTTTCCAATGGAATGTATGTAGTCAAGAACTACATACATTTATTCCTCAACAAGTAGAACCACTAGGAAATACACTGTGAAGATTTTTTTCTTATGAGTTTATTCTTAAAATTACAACAAAAAACACATTTGTTAAGCTTCTGTTACATATAAAATGCTACACCAAATACAACTTCAACCGTGTAGAAGTTGACATTTTGGTGAAAAGCTAATAGATATGGGCCAAAAAGCTCAAAACTAAATAAAATAAATACTTACAAAGACAATAATATTCTTCTGGGTTTGAGTCTGAATATAATATTGGTTTGTTACATGTTTCTTTGAAAGTTTCCAGTGAAACAAAAAGTGAGGAAGTTCACCTTCTATTAGCAACTCAAGAATCTAGAATGTATCATTTAAATCAATGGCCTTTTAAAAAGTTCCCACGCAAATTTAGGAATTTGCTAAGTCCACTGTAAAATGATTTTTGGGTTCATCACAAAGAAAATAGTTTTATTCTTCTAAATGTAATCCAGTTACTATTGTGCACAATAGCCAAGCAAAACTGCTAAGAAAAAAGGTATATAGTTTTAAAAAATATTATTTTTTCATAATTTGTCTAATAATTGGTCTTGAGATTTTACCTATAAATGACTAAAACTAGATTTTTATTTTTAATAGATATTATTTCCTAGGATTTAATAAACAAAACCCATTCATTATTATATAAAAAGTCTCAGACTGTGAATATATATACTGAAATATATCATTAAAATATTTAGCAGAAAGAATAATAAGGGCTATACATAACTGTAGTAAAAAAAGTTAAATGAAAAATAACATGTTTTGTACATATCAGCTGTCAGCACACACTTGACAGATAATTGTGTTGGGGTGTGAAGCAGGGGCTTGAAAGCACAGCCCCTACTAGAGACTTTGACATCATTCCACTTGTGGTTTCTGCATGTTATTTAGTAGGCCATCGAGTATCCATGAGTCTCACTGCAGACACAAGAGCGCGCATTTTTTCCAAGATAAAAGTGTAAGGGATCAATATAGCTGCCAGATACCAATCTGACATCTACACTGAGAAATACATAGCAAGTGGCAGCCTGCAGCCCAGCACATATCATGCATACTACTGGTTACTCTTAACTTCTGTCTTTCTTATGTCCATCACTATTTTTCTTCTAGTAAGCAGTAAATAAGTAAAACCATGAAGTTCTCCTTTATTAATCCATGGAAACAAAGTATGAAAAAAGAAAAATATCTACGGTCTTCTTGGTCTCATTTCATACTAGATTTCTTGCAATGTTTTCTAAAAACTATGCTTTATGAAAATTCACCAGCTTTAGCATGATCCAGGATGTACTTACAGGATGCTGTATCACCTTTAAACTATTTTTAAAAATTTTTAAATTGAATTTATTGGGTGATGTTTGTTCTCAATAGCATACAGGTTTCAAGTGTACAACTCAACAAAACATCATCTACACACTGCATCCTGCACCCACTGCCCCCAACAGTCTCTTTCTGTCCTCACCCTCCCCGCGTTGCCCACCTCCACCTACCCACCACTCCCTTTTCCCTCTGGCTGTCACCACACAGTTGTCTATGTCTTTGTATTTATATAAAATATATAAATACACACATGTTTTTTGCTGAATCCCTTCACCTTTTCTATTACAGTTCCCCAACCCTTCTCCCCTCTGACAGCTGCCAGTCTATTCTGTGTCCACCTATCTTTTTCTATTTTGTTCATCAGTTTGTTAATTAGATTCCACATATAACTAAGATTGTATGGTATTGACATGGTGTATAGGGACTGTTCCTGTTGCAAATGGGAACACCTGAACAACTTTTTAAAATGTAGCCACCCTTTCAGAGAAAAAATAACTGAATTTAAAAAGTTTTTCAAGTGTTTCCATTTACAACAGGAATAGTAGCTACCCAACATTTCTTGAACAGGTATAGTGAGTTAGAAAACACCAGAATTTCTGTAATAGTAACTTTGTTTAATCTTACAACTGTGTAAATCTATTGTAATCTTGATTTTACAGAGTAGGAAACCCAAGCTCATTATATATCCTTCATCTTGGCCAAGACAGCTCTGCTAGTAAAAGTGACAGGACTGGGACTCAAATTCATTTTGTTTAATTCCTTACCCAGTGTCCCTTACCACCATGTTAGCATTTCTCCCTAAACAGAGTAGAACTATAATTCTTAATGAACACCTTGATTTTATATCTTTCCACCTATAACTTTTTACAGCTTTGCTTTTCCACCTCTGCCTGGTAAGGCACATTCTATTTCTACTCTTTTCTTTAACACTTAATTTTTAGATATGCTTAATTTGGTTAAGCTATTCATCTGGTACTATTAAGACACATACAGAATTTAGTGTCTTTCAAGTTGCCCTAAACTGTAAATGGATTCAAAATAATCAATGCCTCATTAATGTATTTTTATGCATTTCCCATAGTCAAATGTATGCATGTCACATAAAGATGAATCTATAAATAACAGCATTTAGCATAAGAAAGTATTTCCATTCTGATTTTTGGACAAGATCTCTGAAGCTCTTTGCCCTGATTTCAAATACAGCTGTCCTCTGTCTGTCTGTCTGACCTACTTGAAACAGCAGAAGCACAACTCAGCTCTTCATCTAGCATTGTGTTTTGAAACAAGTGCTTCCATTTTAAAAAAAGTAAAAAGATTATGCCAGTTGTTTACAAGACCACACAAAAATGATGAATATGTCAACAAAGCAGTTATTAATTTCAAAACAGGATGGCAAAGTACTTTTAATTCTGCATTTGAAAGTAATTATACAAGTAGTCTCTATTGAATTAAAAATAGCTGATCAGTGGTAAAAAACATTCAAGTTTATAATATTTCAAAAAAAAATCCTACTTACTTGTTCAAATTCATTCTTTTGAAATTCTTCAAAACCAAAGATGTCCAGTATTCCAATATCCAATGTCTGCATGCTGAAATAAAACAATTAAACAGTGACTGGGTGTACTTCAAGCTCTCACATGGCCTCCTACTCCTTGCTCCTTCAGGTCAGAGATATTTGGCCACTTAGCATACTAGTTAACTTGAAGTATCAGCATGCAAATAATTATCCTACAGTTTGATGAAAAACTCTGAAAATTAAGGGGAAAGTGTCCTTTTAATGCTTTGATTCAAACAGAACATGTTAATAGAGTGATTTCTAAGTTTAAAATGTAACAATTCCTAGGTAGTTTAATATTTGCTTTTCTGAAGCAGTCCTTTGCCTTTCTCCTTTGACTAGACTTGATTTCTCTAAAGGAATTTGTGCCCACCTGTTAATTGGCTCTCACCAGCTAATACTTGTACCTCATTAGGCTACACAAACAGGAATCAAACAATTCCCTCATCACACCTAAGTACAATGTGAAGTAAATGACAAATTAAGCCATGTGCATATTCTCTGATAGATCAAATTCAGCCACTTCAAAAATTATCTCATGATCTTCCTAAAGGAATTCTTATGAATAAAGAAGAACAGAACATGCAACTCGGTTGTAAAATTGAAAGAAAGTGTTTTCAGGAACATCTATATAGGACACGTGGATAAAATCAAAAAGGGGTGGGGATCAAGGGTGGGAAGTGGGGATGAGGGGAGTGGTGGGGGGGGAATGGAGACAACTGTACTTGAACAACAATAAGAAAAAAGAAAAGAAAATTTAAAAAAATAAAGAAATCAATCTAAGTACGTTGTGATACTTTTATTTCCCCAATGCAGACTAGCACTAGGAACTTGCTACAGTCTTGGATGGTTCAAGCCACTGATGTCGGAACTCTCATGGTGAGTAAGGAAAGAAGGAAGAACACCTGACTGCTGACAGCAGCCCTGACAGCCTGGCTTCCATGAGGAGAGTTGTGGCAGCATGCAGGAATGTGTGTGAGGTTGCTTCTTGCAAAGAAGGCCCCTGATGTTGACTGTGGATGCTGGTGACCGGAAGGGTACACATCCGTCCCCTTCCACATTGCTGGCCCAGAGCATGAGGAGGACAACTGTTGTCCTTACATTACGCCAGTGGGTGTGGGATCCGGTCATCATTGAGGTGCTTATTGTTTCAATACCACTACTCTTGCTCAAACAGATATTTTAGCTGTTGTTTCCTCTCCACTTGGTTGTCCAAACTGTAGAACCACACCGACAACTGACTCTTTTTGTAACTGTATTTTATTTTCACAATCACTCCATAATCATGATCTTTGGGGGCTTTAATATATTACTTGAATGACCATTATTTTTTCTTGAAAGAAAGGTAGAGAATTGATTCTATGGTATCCTGCCTCTAAGACTATTTGTTGTGATTGGTACAAATAAGCTTCAGAAGCAGAAGGTAGAACATTTTAAAAGCCTTTAATATAAATTTCACATGACAAAGAATATAAAGCAGTGAGGGGGCAGAAGAATCATTTGGATGTCTCCAGGTAGTGGATTTAGTCTTTTAGAACAAAAACAAAAGGTTAGCTTTACACCTCACCTCACCCTGTGTGCCCAAATAAACTGTACATGTATTCGATAATTAAATGTTAGAACAAAAAAATCAAATGAGATCTTTTTTTTCCACATCTGGAAAAAAAACAAAAGAAAATGTTTAAAAGTATAATAGACATATACTAAAATTTTTTGCAGGATAAATATATAAATGAAATTAAATTCTGTTAGAGGTAAGCATTATTTTAAAGTGCATAGTCTCATTCATTTTCATGAATTTCCTCAATCTACTGACACATGTGCCCAGTCATACATTATTTCCCAGACATCCATGCTCTGTTCATCCAACTCTCTTTGTAATGTGCACAGATATGTTGGGAGTGATGTTCGCTCAGTGGTAACAATAATGCTCAGGTTTTGCATGATTTGTTGCTTTGTTGTATGTGTGTGTGTGTGTGTGTTAGTGTGTGTTTTCTACATTATGAGCTGCATTGTTTCTCTTGTAGGAGCTTAATGATGAATCTGGTCAGGCTTTGGTGTTGTTTTGTTTTAGGTAAGAATCCTTGTTCAAACACTTCTTAGTTAGATAACTTTGGGCAAGTTACCTAAAATATGTGAGCTGCAGTTTTGTCATCTATAAAACTAACATACAGTAATATGCATACACCTAGATCATTGTTACAATTAGAGGTGCTGCAAATAAAGATCAAAGATAATAGCTACTATACAGTATATTTCCAATCACTGGAAGTTGCTTTTAAAATATAGTTGGTATAGAAATGAAGAGAATGGCTAATAGAAGAAATATAAATAGCTAATAAGCATATTAAAATGTCAATTTCATTAAAATTTCAAAAGAAATAATATTTTAAAACTTAGGATGGGAAAGTCCCATATACTTTTGTTAGAAGTTTGAACTGGTAGAGCCTTCTTAAATAACAATTTAGTTATGTGGTATAAAGCTCTGAAATGTTCATTTCATTTGAACCAGTACTTTCTTATATAGGAGCCTATACTAACACAATCACCAGAAATGCAATTAAAGAATATGAACAAGAATATTCATTGTTATCTTAATTACAGTACCTAAACAAAAAGGAATAATAAATACTCTATACTAAAGATATAATTAATTAAATGGCATGCATCCTATGATGAATATAGTAAAACTCTCAAATTAATAGAATGCAGTATATAAATTCTGTATACAGAATAACCCATTTATACATCCAACACATCTAGAAAGAAGTACAGTCAACCTGAGAAGAGGAAATATACTTTTGTTTACTTCTTTTTATTATTCTAAATTTTTTAAGGTTTCTATAGTGAGTCAATATTATTTTTATAACTAGTAAGTATTCAACTGATATTTTAAAGACACTGTGTATGCATAGTAAATATTCTTGAATAACAATAAGCTAAAACCTAAAGCAGAAAAAAATTTATACCTTTTGTGTATCTATAGTAACTTATAGTAGAATTTCAACAATGTTAAAAATAAATCAATGAAACAGAAAAAAGTTAACATTTGATGTCTTTAAACAGAAGACCTAAAGGTGATTTCTTAATTTTTTAAATGCTCTATACTGGGTATTGTAATATTCTTTATTATTAACTTTTATTTTAAAAATAGATGATTAAATACATATTAGGTATTATCTGAACTGGTGGAGGAAGGGACAACAGCACCCTTCAGGACGGAGAGACAAAAGTGTAGCCCAGCAGGTGTCTGCTTGTGTGGAGATGAGAGGTGCAGCAGGGCCCCTAGGAGTCAGGAGAGAGAGCAGAGGCACTTCCTGAGGGCCTCTCCCTGGTCACAAACATGGATGCTTTCAAGCTCTCATGTTTGCTATCAAGTTTGCTATTTGAGTTCAAGGTCTCATTACTGCTACCAAGATCTCACTTGTGACCTACCTGACAGGCTCCCAGCTGCCCTTGGCAGCAGTGGCTCTGTAGTCACAGCATATAACACTGATAAGAGATGGGAAAAAGGGCAAGAGCTACAAATGACATGATGTCACTGTGTATGCCCTTCCCCTTTTCATAAAGATGGGGACTTTGTGTTGACAACAGAGGAAGGATGCTGAGGCGATGCAGGTATGTGAGTGACAAAAATATGTTAAAAGATTCTGGTTCAGAGTGGGGAAAGTAAGTTATTAGTAACTTAGAGTAGTATAAATTTGGCTTGAAGAGTGCTCCTTTTAAATGATTTTTAAGATTTCATAGATACTGCATTCCAAACTATATTTAGTTACAAAATTAAAATGCTATTAAAAAAGATGGTATAGAAGGAAATCATTTTCAGGGGAAAAATTAAATGCAGGTTTAATGCATTTTAAGGATTACTTTTGCAACTACTGACAGACATAATGTGTTCATTTTCTTTCAAAAAATCTATTTCATCATTTATGATTGAATGAAATATGTGTCTGTTTTTGCAACAGCAACCTTGGCAGGAGGGTTACAAGAATTTGCAGCCAGCAAAGTGCCCATACTATGTTGCAGTCAGCATTACTGTCATTTCTCTATTGATATCCTGCCTCATATTACACAGGCATTTAACTCAACATCCCATTTCTAGCAAAGAGGAACAGACAGAGGTCATCTGATCAACCAGGATTCAATCCTATAGGCAAAATTAACATATTAATGAGATAGTCTGTTTTAGTTCAAATTCTTCCTTGGAATTCTCCTGAGGGCATTCCTGATGGTTAACAAAACTGTCTAACTTGCAATAGCTTATTAATAAAATACAATACCTTTTATATCAGAGAAAAATATTAAGTGCCAAGACATCTTTGTGGTTTTGATTTTGTTTTCCATGTGTGAATATAGGAAGGGGTAAGATCTGAAGTGAAAAGAATGTCTACCCTAGAACATGGATGAACTAATTTTATTTGGGCAGAGAAGTCTGGTGTCATGTACAAGTCAGAATTTGTCCTCAATAATCCCTAGGCAAGGAAATTAACTAGAGAGTTACCTAAGTATGTAGTTATTTTGGGAAATAGCTAAATCCTGCTTAGCATAAAACCCTTAGATAGATCTTGAGTTGAGTCAGCCTCTTCAGCTGATCATTGACCTGTAGGACCCCCAATGGGATCAGAATGAAATATAAAAGCATTCCAGCCTTGAGCAATCTGGCTGTTCAGACAGACATACTACCCTGGGGATCAGAGAGCTTACACAGAGGTTAGTGGTGCAAATAAATCCCTGGGGTTGTTGAGCTACACTATGGCATTCACTAACTTGGCCACTGATACACTGAAGAATTTAAGTAATAAGATTTGTTTTTAACTGGTAATGTACATTCAAGGTGGAGGCAAGCTCATTGTGCCCATTCCACAGCTCACCTCCCAGGGTTTCTCTCATCTGTGGGAGGAACATAGGGTGGAGAGGTGTGACTCCAGGGTTGCATCCTTTCAGGAGTTCCTCCCTTTTATTCTTTGACCGAAGCAAGTACCTGAGATTTACCATTTTCTGAAAACGTGTCAGAAAATAAAGAAAGATTTTGCA